ACGTAGGGACACAGGGCTTTGAGGAGGAGGTCATTTCTAGGTCTTATCTAGAGCATTTCTGGGTTTGAATCCCACCCAGAGCTTCCAAGGACATCGTTCAAAATAGTCAGAACCTAAACCTCACCATTGGCATCTCCTGAGCTCAGAATTTGTCTCAGTCTTTGCTCATGGGAGGCCCTACTGGCTTTTACTGTTCCCAACAGAAAGGCCAATGTCCAGCCTGCCTTACCTGCCACCCCTTCTGCTGATGAGGGAGGCTCAGCATGTTTCTTAAGCTTGCTTGTTCATGTTCCATACCACATCATTCTGGCTTCCCACTTTCCACCCACGTCATAGCCGAGAAGACAGAAATGAACGTCTCAATCTGGGGGCAGTCAATCTCCAGTCTGGCCAGTGACACGAGATAGCTTAAATTAAAAGTCTCAGCCTCACGGTAATTTCTCTCTTGGATAGTCAGAATTTTAGATAGACATGGAGATAAGGATAAAGATAAAGATGATGGAGATAGAGAAAAATGAAGAGTTCCTGACAGGTACATGAATTGGAAAGATGCCTAACCTTAGAGGAGACAAAATGGAACATGAGTGAACTGGAATTATGGTTCAGCCAAAAGCCAACCAATGCAGTAGAGAAACGTCCTGGAGGGAGCAGGAGAAGACAGGGAGATGGGTCATTAGTCATTCTGGGCGTGGGGATTAGATGCATGCCTCCTGCAGAGGCGAGGATGATGTAGCCTGCAGCCTCGTGGGTTTGCTGGATGCTCTAATGCCCAAATTTCATTCCAGATTCCAATGAGGCTGGGTTACAGGGCTGTTCCTAGGATCCTGCAAGATGTCTAACTCCTTACAACTGTGTGTCTTCTTACAATAAGACCTCATCACTGATGAGACAGCAATGAATCTCTTTCTTGCTGGGAAGGATCTGAGAGAAAGAGAAAACAATCCTCCGACCACACATCCAGGTTTTCTGCTGAGTTATAAAGTCTTTTTATCAGCAAAGCAAAACTTTCATTGGATAAAATCTCAGAGCAAGGACTTCAAGAGGGCTTCCATTATGTAAGAGAACTTCCCTTGGTCTTGAGGATATGAAAATCCTAACAGAAGCAGAAATGTTCCCACACATTATTCCTTTCAGTCATTCTCATCTGGAGGCCTGCGGTGGTGAGTGAGAGCAGGAGCATTAATGAGGACATTCACTGCCTCACGTGGGTCCTCCATTATCACAAGAGTCTCTGATTCTGGCTGCTGGTGATATTAGGGGATACCATGGACTGGATGTGTGTTCCCCCCACCCCACCAAGTTCATATGTTGAAATCCTTACCCACAAAGTGATGGTATCAGCAGGTGGGGCAGATCAGCAGATTAGGTCATAAGGGTGGAACCCTCAAGATGAAATTAGTGCCTTTATAAAAGGGACCCTGAGAGCTCCCTCATCCCTTCTGCAGTGGGAGGACACAGTAAAAAGACAGGTAGACATCTATGAACCAGGAAGTGGGCCCTCACCAGAACCGAATCTGCCTTGATCCTGGACTTCCCAGGCTGCAGCACTGTGAGGGATACAATCTGTTGTTTATAAACCACCCTGCCTATGGTTTTCATGTTTATAGCACCCCAAACAGATGAAAGCAGGGAGTTGCCTAATAAACTTTGAATAATCTCCCTAAGATCAGCTTTTCTTAAACTTTAATGTGCATGGGGATTATCTGGGGATCTTTTAAAAATGCAGATTCTGTTCAGAGGGTCTCAGGCATCTCGGGTAGAGCCTGAGATCCTGTATTTCCAGCAAGCTCCCAGGAGACATTGATGCCGCTGGCCTGGGGACCATGTTTTGAGAGGAGATTGTGATATGACCCCCGCTGTCAGAGTCGAGAAGAGCTGCTCTCAGTGTAACAGCATGTCATGAGTGCTCATTAAAATACATGTGTAAATCACGGCCTCCGAGGCTCTGAGAGCTATTCCGTGTGACTTGATAGGGGATGTAAATGAACAAGCTCTCAATCACTTCAGTAAAAAGGAAAATATTTGAAATCTTATCCCTGAATTCCAAACCATTAAGGGACTGATGTCAGCAACTTTTTTTTTTTCCTTTCATCCTAGCAAATTTGTGACTATTGAGCTAGAATAACAGACAGGCTGGAGGGCTGGGTAGGAAGGCTGGAGATAATTCCAGTTGGCCGAACTGTTTCATGAATAAAAGCTTAACACTTCACAATGAGGAAAAGGGAACTATTCATGACCAAGCATGTTACATGGTAACAGGCTCTGCTTCAGACTAGGTGTGCAGACTAGGTGTGCAACCTCCCCCTCACAATCACCCACCAAATCTATTTTATAAAATCACTGGAGAAGTGGGGTGTTTATTATAGATGAGCAGACTTAAGAGTCATTTTTAAAGACTCTGAAAAGCCTTGGCCTGAGGTTACTATATTTATTGTATAGGAAAGAGACGGGGGAAAGGAAACAGCCTTCTCCCCTCGCTGTTGACTGTATGGATGCGTGTAAGGATTCCTTCTAAGGTACTGATAGTCCATTTACAAGACTCTCACCCTTAACCTTTGAGAGAGGATGAGATTTGAGGTCATCTTGAAGACTGGCTCAGTCTCAGAATCCCTGCAGACGACCTTTCAGTCTGTCAGTCATTCACCACCATCCCAAGAGTCCCACTACTTCTGCAACATAACCTGGGAAGCTCCATAAGCCATTGATTCTGCCTAGGGATTGTCAAAGGCTGTGCAGTAGGTCACCTAAAGGTGGGAAAATCAACTTTGGGATGGCTGCTGGTGGACTGATTGCAAGGTAACCACTGGCTTTGCCCTTTAGGTGGTGGACATTCATCTTGGGCACTTTCGAGGCATGAGACTTCCCTGATTACCATCCTTATTGCCCTTGAACTTCTCGTTAGGATGACCACCTCTTTCTGGGTTGCCTGAGACTTATATGAAAGGAATAGAAAATCCCAAGGAAATTGGAAGGTAGAACTTTCCTGGATCCTGACAGCGATTTAGGACTTGGGATTCATTCACAAAGATATTAAAGCAGAAGGCATTGGGGAAGGAGTTTGATGTTAAGCCTAATTAGAAAGCTTTTCCTATAACGAGCTGATTTGCAACTGGGAGGTGTTTTATTCTAATAACCTCATCACCTTCCCTCCAACGTCAGTGAAATTTCAAAGAGGAAGACAAAGGGGGAAATGTTCACTTGTGCTTGTGTAGCAGACAAGAGCTTGGACATCAACTCCAACCCACTTCTGAAGATGACGCTGAGAGGGAACTTGTGTCAGAGGCATCCAGGGATAAGAAAAGCAAGTGCTTTTGTTTCCTCTACTTCATCAGGCCACAAAGCTTGGGATTCCTTTTCTGAAACCAGAGGTGCCCCAAAGAACCAAACTCCTAACTATAAGCTAATACTGAACTTTGATATTTACAACAAACAAAAACAAAAGGGAAAATCTTGGTGGAAGAAGTCCACGTTGGACCAATCATTAATTTTGAACCCTTAAAAAAACAGGTACTAGTATCTTAAGAATACTAAACCATGATCAAGAAATAACAAGTTTACTTTTTTTTTTAAACTCTGATTTTTGGCATCCATCTTAACCAAGCAGGATTAATTCGTGGCCTAGGAGCTCTTCAAGCTTATGTTTATTTATAATATTCAATATTCCCATAAGTGCAAATGTTCCAAATGGAAGGCTGCATTTTGATAATGCCCATTGCTTCATTAAGATTTCATCATCCACCTACATTAAAAAGCCTCTCCCTACACTTTGTTGCTACGGCTTTCACCTTGTGTATTCCTGCTTTATTTGCTTAATCTTGAGATCTGGCTTCCTAGGCACTCTCAAATTTGAAACAAGCAAAGTTTGTGCATTAGCGTATCCTGGGCATGCATGATTTATGAATGGCAGGTTTCTTGGCACAATTTAATGGTACAAGAGAGACTTTGTTTTAAACATTAAAATGGAAGTCAAGAAGTGGCAACAATGGGTGGGGTAGCAGAACACAGAGCATGGAAAGAAGTTTGGGTCAAGAGTTAACCAGTTCTTACTTGGTCTGTTTCTTAGTCTTATGGACTGATTCTTCAATAAATTATAAGAAGCCCTGACATTTGACCAACTAAAAAAGTATTTTAAATTACCATTCTGATAACTTACCCAGACAAGCCCTCATTCTGCAAAAAATTTAATTGCTAATGTTTATATATATGAAGAAATCAAACATCTTTGACTAGTCCAAAATAAATTCATTTTCTCTTTAGCAGGCATCCTCCTTACATTCAGGTCATTTTCCACCAAAATAATTCTTCCTCTGACAGAATCTTTTGTAAGTCAACCTATCAGTCAATGCTACCAAATCTTTTAAAGAAAAGTCAAAACCTTTATAATATCAAGACAACTACCCTTCCTAAGTAAAATTAGAGTCTGATTGTTATATGCCCCTGTAATATAAAGGTTCAACATACAAGTCTATTTTTCTCATTGCAAAATATGAGCTCAAGTAACACAATTTTTGTTTAATAGCTATAACTAAAACATACTTTGTAGAGCAAAATAATCATTAATAAATTATTCCAAATAATATCTTGTATTTGAGATGTTCCAATCACTTCAAACACAAACAAGCAAACTCTAACTTTTCTTTACCCATGGCTAAATTGAAGAATTGGTGAGATGATAACTCAGGTCTTCAAATAACAACACAGGAATTTTACTTTAAAGTTTTTGATACGTCATGCAATGATTGACCCATAAATGCTTCCAGGAGACCTGAAAAGTTTTGATACCAATGTTAGGAAATGAGGATTGATAAAACCAGTGGCTTGCGCAAGCTCAGGATTCACAGACAACTGAAAATTTTGCTTCCTACGGAAGCCTTCCATATTGTTTAGGGCAGAAGCAACTCTGAATCACATTCACCATTCTAGGCACATTTTTTTGTCTGCTTCAGAGAATACTGGCCAATTGGTAGAGCCTTACGTGGCGCATGGACACTATGGATTACCTTGTAGATTTTGCAACGGCAGAGTCATAATGCCTCCAGCTGCAGCTGCTGCCACCAGCCCTTGGATGTTGGTGAGATTCGCTGTTGGCAGTGTAAGAACCAGTCCTTGCTGGCCTCCTAGCTGTCCCGCCATGTTGAAGGGGATGAGGATTGGCTGGTTGAGGGCTGGGGGGCCTCCCGGCATCACGCCGGCCACAGCAGAAGCTAACTGCTGTGCCGTCAGAAGTGGCTGCAAGGAAACAGATAAAGCTAGCTCACTTACCTGTGGAACCAAGGCATGGATTTTAAAAACATCATCCTTCCATTTAAGCAGGGTCAGAAAGTTCCCAAAGAAGTACCAAAAAACATGCTGTATCCCATTTTTAAAAAATGATTGGTAGAAAAAAATTTCAAAGTTGCATTTCATTGGTATCTTTAGAAATTTTCATTTGGTTTGGACTTCTTCTGAGGAACTCAAATACCTTTACAAGTAATAACTTACGTTTACATGCTGTTCTTCCAGTGAATTTCCATTCGATCCTGTCTGCATGTATTTGAAGCTCTCAGCTAATTTATTCTCTGTTGTTCCAGAAAGAACTTATTGGGATCAGTGGGATTTTTTGATTCAAAAAGAGCAACGAAAGACTACTTTTGACTTTTAAATCAACAAAAATAATGTAGAAAATTTATTCAATGCTGGAAAGTCTGTATTGACACCACTATGCAGATCTATGGCTGGGGGACGTGTACACTAGCATAATCCTTTTGGAAAGCAATTTAGAAATAGATTATCAAGAGCTGCAAAAATATTTATCCCCCTTTAACTCAGAATATATTCCTAGGATATAGCTTGAAGATATTATTCAAAATGAAATAAGATAACTGCATAAAAACCTGCATTATGTTTCAAAATACGTAAATATTGAAAATAGTTTATTACAGTACTAAACTAGATAAAATATTGCACAGTCATTAAAATGGATCATTATGACACCTCTTTAGAAAAGTAGAAAATGTTTGTAATATGAGAATACAATAGAAAATAAGCTGGATAACTATTAAGTAAACTTGAATGATAAAATGGTAGAGTTATGTATGTACAATGACAAGATCTAAAACAGAATATAAGACATAAAAGTATTTGATGTGAATAAAACTTAAAATCTTTGAAAATAATTCTTTTGTTATTACTCTAACATCCTTTGCCCAATTAAAATGATATTATACAAACACATGTTTACGTGCACTATGGATGGAACAGCCCTTCTCTGGTAGGGAAAGGCAACTGCTGGGCATGTTTTGAGGGCAGCACGTGGGCTCTTCACCAGGATGACATGGGAGGGATTCCTGCCCTGGTCAAGCCAGATGACCCCAAGAGTCATTTGATTTTAGAGTCCTTGATTCAGGACTTTCATTGCAGCCTTGTGGGAGCCGTGTGGAACATAATAATCCCATATCTGTTGTTCTTCTACAAGAACCAATGCAAAACTCTTATGTGAAGGATAGGTAATTAAATACAGCATACTACCAAGCCCAATGTATAATAGCCAGACACTATTCGAATGCTGTAGTTATTCTACCAATGAGATACAGAGAGGCTAGTAACTTGCGCAAGTCCCATGTCTAGTTGAGAAGGGGTTCAAGTTCAAGCCCAGGAAGGCTGCTCCAGAGCCCGTGTTTTACCCCTTTCTTGTATCCCCTCCAATACAAAGAACAGATTTAGAGAAGTGGGGCTGCTTTATCTGAAGAATGAGGGGTGGTGTGGAGAGGGCTAAGTCCACACTTTGGCCATTCCCTGCAGTGTTCCTTTCAGGACCCTTTGGGGGAAGACTCTGCAGAGCCCTAGGATTCTGCACAGCTGAGTTTAGAACTGCTGCTTTAGACCCCGCAGGCCTTGTTCCTAATGTATTTGTGCACTTCGCTAAATTCACACCAAGTAACCGTGCTTCCCTTTTTAAAAAATTACAGTTATTCTAATGAGCAAAATAAATATACTTCGGGAATGAATACAAAATTACATGCTGGCCCTCAGATTCCCGGTGTTACATCACTGCCAATAGTGATATTATGGTAAGAGGGAAGGCAAATGAGTAGTTTTCAGACTATATATGGGTCACAGATTTGGGGGGTTTGGCCTGCAGCATTTTAAAAATAGGATTTGTGGGCTCAAGGCAGGGCATGCACTCTCCAGTTTGTCACAGGGCCACCACTCCTCACTGACCTGGGCCTGTAGGGCTGCCTACCCAACCTGAAGGCATTAGAGTGTGTTACCCCCAGTATGTTCACAGGCAGGTGTGCAGGCATGCATACACGCAGACACACATAATTACACGAACACACACATGATGTTACAAGCATAAAATTATAAAGAGTATGACACCAAAAATCCTGTTCCTGAGAGTCCCAGGAAAACTCTCTAGGCTTCCATAAGCCAGCATACATTTGCCCAGGCTTTCTGTCCATAGGCACGGAGCGATCTGTGCTCCAAGATGGACTATGGGATCTGAGGCCACAGGGAGTCTCGGTGGCTAGTGGAATAAGAATGTCAAGACCAACCCTCACTCTAAACTTGCGTGAGCCCTCAATGTGCTGAAAGTCATTAACTTCCAGGAGCAACAATGACAACAAAAGGGAGAGAAAGGCCCAAGTCTCAGCTTCTCTTTCCATAAAAGCAAGATGAACTCTGAAAGCTTCACACTAAATGATAGAGGTAAAAAGGCAAAAAAAAAAAGCCCAGCCTTTTATAATTGTGTTCTACATCTCCATATAGCCCACATCAGGCTGCCAAAAAACAAATATTGGACTTTAAAAAATAATGATTGTATTTCTTTATTAATGCAAGAGCTATGTGTGATGTACAATATTGTCAAACCCAATAAGCTGAACTTGCATTAAAATTGCATTAACTCTTTTATATTAAATCACATCTTGTATTTCAAAAATGGCTATAGTAAGGTTGAAATAACTTAATTTTCTTCACACTCCAGTCATTAAAGTTTTACTTTCCAGAAAACTGCATGGTAACCAACAGCACAACTGTAGTGGGTTTTAAGTTAAAAAAAAAAGTGTTTCCACATGATTAAAGCCAACTTTTCCTTTAAGAAGAGAGAATAGCTTTGCAAACGCATATTTTCTTGATGGTATTTAATAAATAATGTAGTCATACAGGTTTTCATACGAAAATTTATTACCATCTTTGCTCTGTTGGAGTTAATTGGACTTAACTCATTATTATTTATTTGGTTAATTATATGGTTAAACCATCCTAAATGCAGCCTAATGGAAAGCAGTTGAGAGATACTGACCTGTGGCCCAACTGGAAATGGTGGGTGGGTCTGACTGGCCTGGTGTTGGTCAGGAGTGCCTGGGTCTGATAGTGCCGGGTTTCCTCTGGCCCCTGGAATTCAAAAAAGAAATGCTCCCTTAATATATGATCCAGCCTGGGAACTGCACACGACCCCATTTTCCTATGATGTCACATAACGTTAAGGCATAGATGATATGACAGAGTGGTTTATCAATATCTCCAGTGCTCAAATCACTTATCAACTGCATAAATAATGATGAGAGACATTCAGGATGGCCAAGTTCATCAAGAGGCAGAAGAACAGAACAGCAGGGAATGTAGCACAGTCAGTGTGCATAGAGTACGCCAGTGTGCCATATGTGTGGGAAACTACACCCTTTAAGTACAAGCGAGCCACAGCTAATCTAGTATCCTAAAATTAAACGAAGTGTGATCTCAGATATGACCAAGTCCATCAATATTTTCCCCTAATATGGCTTTCCCCATCTCCTCCATACTCCTAAGCCCTTCTTCCATACTCTTTGAACACTGAATCTTATGACACCGCTTTCCTGAAAACAAAGCCTTTTTCCATATCACCTTACACAATGTCCTAAAAAGAATATGGCTCTCCCTAAGCAAGTGTCCCAGGTGCTAACTGAAACACTAGGAGTCCCACAATAGCTCCAGGGAGCTCCACCATGCTAAGCACAGAACACAGCTTGCTTCCTTTACTGGAATCCTACTGGACGGCAAGGCAGAAAAAATGAAATTCCACCCAAGAGCAAATCCTTCAAACTCTTTTAACATGGTCATTTCTCTTTGTGTGCTTCTGTGCTTTGTTTCAGGACAAACTGTAGCAGGTAAGATAGTGGTAGAAACAATAAATACACAAACAAACAAATAAAACCAGTGGCAATTTTTGAGAATTTCTACTTGGTAGCTTTGTTTCCTTGGAGTTTTCTAATGGGTGGTTGAAATCCAATTCCAAGCAAATCTTAACAAGATCCTCTTTCCTGATGTTTGTCCTATGAATAACAAGCGGAAGACAATTCAAACCCTGTTTACCGGCATGCCATGGACAACCCAGAAAAAAAGATATGACTCTGTCACACTTATAAATTTTAAAGAAGGTATTATTGGCTCATTTAAAACAAATTCTCCTATATATTCTCCAAAGGGACAGACTTATAAATAATGGAAACAGGGAAAAATACTTCAGCACATTAAGCTACAAATAAAATTGACTGCTACATATTATTCAATTGACTTCTATCTCTACCACGATGTGTCAATCATAACAGCATTTTATAATAGGATTAAGCAATAAATGTGCAAAGCCATTATGCGGAAATCTGAAAATCTGATTAATTTGTAATATTTTTGTGCAGAAAGTCAGGAATGGACATTGCTTGGGGAATACTTACAAGCATTCTATTGAAATTTCTAAATTGATTTGGAACAAACTAATAAAAACACAGACTTGCTGACATTTTATAAAGTGAATTCTGTCAAAATATGTTTGGCATTTTAATGATTGCTGTCATTTAATAACAAGGATAAGATGACCCATCATAAGATGCCAATCATTTCCTCAGAATGTACAGAAGACCTTTCTTCTAAATTTTTTATATGTGATTTACCTATTATGCTTAAAAGCACGGCATTTTAAGCTGGGAGATGGCTTGTGCAGTGCAAACCTTTCAAATCTCTGTTCTTTCTTATATACCCAAGTCCCATTTTGCCCTAAAATTCTCGGCAGAAATTTACGTACTTCAAAGAGCTTATGAGGTTTCAAAGTGATGTTTTTGGTCAAATATTCAGATTAGGTAAACACTCAAATGGCTAAAAGTGCACAATTTTAAAAAAATTTGGTTGTTTTCCCATACTTGCCAAGCATGGGTTTTTATACCAGACTATGAAAAGAGAGTTTTTACAATGCACAGAAAAATAGAAAAGCCCTTTTAAGCAATTAAAAAATGAATACCTTCATTCTAAAAAATTTCTATACCATGCCAAGCCCTTCTGTCTCATGTTTCTTTCATGCATACTAAGCCCACTTTTTGACTCTGTTTCTAATGCACGCCATCGTAATGTTTAGGATCGGTCTCACACAGGCACTGTGTCAACAAGATTGTGCATTTGTTCCCCTCAACTTTACACAGATTACATTTGCTTACATTTATTCTTTGTTGCTTTGAGGCCTAGCTGGTGCCCAGCAGCTTGTTCTGAGGCTGGTTAATTCTCAAAAACCACGTTCAGTGCAGTCCAGGGCAATTCCACACAATTTCATGTGTAAAATGAAGTCTTTCACAGGCTCTAGAGGAGATTATGTATGCTCTCCTGCCTGGATCCAAAAGTAATGTTTCTTCTTAATGTGCATCTCCATTTTCCCCAAACACATGTATCACGCATAACCTTGTAGGACCATAAACTAATCCGTCTGTCTAGAAGGCAATTCTGGAATCAGGCGCCTTCTCAGAGCCAGAGGGGGAATCAGGAAGTCAGAATGAATAAATGATGTTGGCTAAGGGTTTCAGAGAGATTTGAAGCAACACTTAGCTGAACATTTGCAGAGAATTTGACGTTGGATATTTTCATGAGCACAGATATGAAAACACAAACTTGAACGGGTTGGGTGGGTTTCTCCTGACCAGGAGCCTAGGAAACATGTTACATCTCTGAGACCAAGGAATTCCAGGAAAGCTCTCTGAAGTCTGTTCTGAAGTTAGCAGTCTATGCTTTTGAGGCAGCAACTACGAGCTCTACGGGACATAGGCTGTGCTGCTGGTTCATCAGTTTATGCTGTCATTTCATTCACATTTCTTTTTCAGTAGAAATAGAGGTCTGGCTTTTAGTTCAGCAGTGATATAATTCCTTTAAGATAGGTACTGGCATCCACTTGACTACTCACTGTTGTTTAACATAAACCTTTGAGATATCTTTAAATTTTTAGCGTATTGGCAAATTCTACCTCAATTCCAATTTAGATATTAAAAGCCGTTTGGTGTAAGGGTTAAAACCAAGAACTCTTAAAAAAAAATTAAACTCTGCCTGGGTTTAAATTTAGCACTACCACTTAACTGAGAATGTGAACTCTGGCTTGTTTTCCAACTTCATGCATCACCTTGTAAAAGTCAGGGATAATAATAGTACCCCTCTCACAGCACTGCTGTTGTGAAGATTAAATGAGCTAATATGTATGTAACTTTCTTGAAACAGTGCATGCTTGCCACATAAGTGCTATTTCTCTTGATTATTGTTATTTAATAAAAAATTTAATTTCTCTTTTTGAGAGACAGTATCTCACTCTGTTGCCCCGGCTAGAGTGCAGTAGTGTGATCATTGCTCACTGCAGCCTTGATCTCCTGGGCTCAAGAAATCCTCCTACTTCAGCCTTCTGAGTAGCTGAGACTACAGAAGAAGCCACTACACTCAACTAATTTCTTTTTTTTTTTTTTTGGTACAGAAATAATCTCACTCCATTGCCCATACTGGTCTTGAACTCTCGGCCTCAAGTGGTCCTCCTGCATTGGCCTCCCAAAGTGCTGGGATTTTAGGCATGAGCCACAATGTCCAGCCTAAGCTGTATTTAATCTAATATTATTTAATATTATTTAATGTGTCTATAATAGCGACCTGCCCCAAGCCAACTCAATTCATATTCCTGCCCCTCTGTCCCTTTCTGTGCAGTTCACATTCTCTTGCACACTGGCTAAAGGTGGCCACTGTGCACTGACCCTAACTCTGTCCTTGGTACCACTGGATGAATGTTTGGAGCTGAACTAAATGATTGGGTTCTGAAGAGCTTACAAAGCAAGATGTTTACATATATAGTGCTTCCTTTAGTCCATGGTAGCATAATCACGAAATATGGCACAAACATAGTGGCACAGTTTCCAAATTTTCACACAGACCATGGCTTATACCAGTGGTTCTCACCCAGGCCTGTAAATCATTTGTGGAGCTTCCTGAACACAGAGGTTGATATCCCTCACGAGGCCACTGACAGAGCATCTAAAGGGTAGCTCACGTGAATGTTTTATGAAACTCTACCTGTGACTAAAGACCACAGGGAGCCAGCAGTGGCTTGTATGTTACCTAGGGAAGCCTGAATCTCCTTTGTGCTGAGACTGCCATATGCAATCTGTTTTCTGAATGGCCGATGGGTCTGCAGCTAGTGTAATCCCTTTGGCCTTCCAAGCTTCTTTATCCACACCATTCTTTTATCATAATCCTGATTGACTTCTAGCTTAGCAAGGGGTGGAATCATCTCAGATACATCTGTTTTGTAATTATGATTTGTTCACAAATAATTTTAAAAGTATGATAACTGATTTTAAAGGGATCATAATATAAAATTTAAAATAGCCATATAACAGGAGTTAATTATCTGCAAATACAAGAATCCCTGATTTGAATCTATTATGGAAAGGATAGGTTATAAATGGTGAAGACATCAAAATACTGATTAGGAGATTGGATGGTACACTTGGATACAACTTATTCATTGTCATAAGACCTCGTTGTCAGAGGGCATTTGTTCACTCAATACCATTGGTCCCAGGGTTGATCTCACATCCGAAACCCAGAGGGTTGCCTGCAGATCCCTCTGCTCTGGAGGGACTGTGACCGACAGAGCTGAAAGGGGTGACCGCCTGAGCACGACATTCCTTTCTTCAGTGCCCTCCTGAGGACCGAGCCTCCCACACTCCACTCTCTCCACACAGCTTAAGCTGAGTCCCTGAACAACGATCACCAATGACTGTCGTCGCACTCCTCATAGCAAGTTCATTTTTGTTTTGCAATTTTTTTTTTAATTTGGTACAACAGATTTTCATTCACCAAGGGAAACCTGGCTCAGCATCTCTTAGTGACACTGAAAGTAAAACAGATGTTCACTCTTGCACAGAGTTTTGAATTGTTCCCTCTTTTTGGAGTTGACTCTTCCAAGTAAGTCATTTTAAGAAACGAATACACTATTTTCAATCCCGAGAGTATATACTCCTTTCTGGAGCCTTACCCTTTGCAAAGAGGATTTGACGGCCAGGGCAGATTGAGAAAGGAACAGAATTGCAAATATAAATTGCTCATCCCAGGCAAAGCAGCTC